TTTAAATGATTCCATGGTTAAATCTTTCTACCAGGCCATTGGTCTGTGGGTGGTAAACAGAGGACCACAGAATGTGAACATGGAGCAGGAACACAGGTCCTTCATTAGCTCGTACATGAAGGTCTTACTGTGGTCTGTTAGGATCTCTTTGGTAGCCCTCCATGGACTATAATTTCTACCAGTTCCTTGAAAATGGACTTGGAGGCTGTGCCTCAGGTTACCTAGTTGCACAGTCTAGGATGACAAGCACATATTGGTGAAACTTGGGTCATCTTCTCTAGAGGCCCTATGAGTGCTAATCACTCAAATGTAACATCCATGATGCAGGGAAATGCAAAGGGGCCCTTATGGCCAAAAGAACCTGTGTTAAGATTTGCGCAAGGGTTTTCTCCACCCGAGGTGCCTTCCAAAGAGGTGATTGTGGGCAATGATTAATATTGCCCTCTGATCTTTGTGAGGTAGTAGGAGCTGGTGTATTTCTTGCTCCTACATTTGCAAAAACCAGTACAGGAGGTTCTTCCTTTTTGGTCATCAAATAGGGCCCTGTCCCTCAGGCTTTTCCTTTTATGGGTACCCCATCTATTGACCACCTCCTTCTTGGTGTTATCATATCTTGGGTCTTCCACCTGGTCCCATCCGAAAGTCTCCTTCTCAAAGCTTATTGTCTTGATTTCTGAGGAATCCCCTCTCTGCCCTCTTGGCCAGCTCAGAGGGATTGGAGTTGTTGGCCCCTCATCCATCTTGTGGTCGTCCCCTGTGGTTGCTTGTGTCTACCTGCCTACACAGCCAGTCTTTTGGCCCAGAAGCAGATTCAGGGGCCCAAAGCCTTTGCTCCCTTCTTTCACAGGAAATAATTCTTGGGATATTTCAGTGAAGAATCAGGGGTGACAATAAGCTGTAGAAGCCTCCCTAACTCTGGGGAGCTCTCCTCACACTAACCCCTCTGGTGGGAGCAAGTTTACAAAGCCAGGGAAATCTTTGTCTATGAGCATAGGACAGGAGAGTACCCCTGCTTGTTATCAAGTGTAGTGAGTTTATTTGTTTACTTTTGTTGCTGGATTGGTTTATTTTATAGAATAGCCACCTATTTGTGGTGAGGGTGCCCCAATGCTCAGCACTTTGTCCTGAATTTGGTATGCTCAGTTACAACTCATTGGAGCCGATGAGAGACCAAAGGGCAGGACCCTGTAGTGGAAATGGTCTGCGCCTAACTGAAAACGTAGAAATCGTCTGTGAGCTGGGTATATCACCACATGGAAGTAGGCATCCTGTAGATTGAGGGACGTGTACCAATCTCCGCTGTGAAGAGCTGGAATGATGGTGGCTAGGGTAACCATCCTGAAACGGTACTTCCGCAGATACCAATTTAGTCCTCTGAGGTCGAGAATCAGCCTCCACCACCCTGATTTTTTCTCTGTTAGAAAATATCGGAAATAGAACCCCCATCCCCGGAACTCTTTTGGTACTGCCTCTATTGCGCCGAGGGTGAGGAGTTGATCAACCTCTTGTTGTAAGAGAGGCTCGAGATGGGTCCCTGAAAAGGGACGGGGTGGGGAGGTTGAAAGGGGGTAGAGTGGTGAATGGAATGGTATGCCCTAGCGTAATCGTTTGCAGTACCCATCTGTCGGTGGTGATGTGAGACCACTGGTGTTGGAAGAGTCTCAGGCAATGGTGGAATAATGCCTGTGGAAGGTTGGGATGTCTGCTCAGCGGAATGATGCACAGTCCCTCGACAGGAATGTCAAACTTGCTGCTTGATAGTTAAGCGACCAGATGTTTTTGGTTGAGGTCTTCTTTTTTGCTAGTGCTGTCGATTGCGATGCTGGTCCTGCTGCCTGTACTGAGATGGTGGAAAGGTAAACGGTCTTTGCCTCTGATAGGGAGTATACCTCTTTCAATGAAAAGGAGGCGTATACATCCCTAGTGTCTTGAGTATGGTTCTTGAATCTTTCAGAATGAAGCACCTGATCGGTTTTGTCAGAGAAAAGATTTTGCCTATCGAAGGGTAGGTCTTGGACTTTGGAGAGAAGGTCTTTGGGAACTGCCGCCTGGTGCAGCAAAGATGCCCTGCGCATGACCACGGATGTGGCTGTGGTACCCGCTGCAGTGTCTGCCATGTCCAAAGCTATATGGAGAGCTGTTCTGGAAGCTGCATAGCCTTCTTGGACTACTGATTTAAGGGCCTCCCGCTTGCTCTCAGATAGATGTTCCAGTAGGGATACTAATTTAGAATAGTTGTCAAAGCTATGATTAGCTAATAGCGTGGAATAATTTGCCATACGGAGCGTAAGAGTAGCAGATGAGTAAACCTTTCGTCTGAAGAAGTCTAGCTGCTTCATATCCCTGTTCGGCACATTAGGTCTTTGTTGCGAGTCCTTCATTCTTTGCTGGGCTGCATCGGCAACCAGGGAATTCGGTTGGGGATGGGAGAAAAGAAACTCCATCCCTTTGGCCGGGACATAATATTTTTTGTCTGCTTTTTTGTTAGTGGCAGGTGTAGAAGCTGGCAACTGCCATATATCATCCACAATCTCAAGAATGGCATCATGCAGCGCAAGAGCCGCCTTGGCCTGATGTGAAGGGTGCAGGTTTCTGAGCAGGTGGTGGGACTTCTGCTGGACTTCTGCAATCTGCACATTCTGTGATGCTGCCACTCTCCTGAAAATGTCCTGGAATTGTCGGAGATCGTCCGACGGTCATGTGTCTTCCTGGAATACTGCATCATCTGGCGAGGAAGAGGATTGGTCAGTGGGGGACCGGTCCTGAGGCTCATCTTGAATGGTCTGTTGTTGAAGGGACCTGTGGCTCAGGTGGTTGGGGAGGTGGGATACCTGATGGAGTTGGTGGTCTGGTTGCTGATGGTAAGGGTTGACGTTCCCTGCTGGGTGATGTATGAGACCGATGTGGAGAATAAAACACTGATGAACGTCAGGGAGAAGAATGAGAGTAGTGCCTATAATAACGGTGGTGCTCCAGTGATCCATGGTAATAGCGGGAGCGGTGCAGTGATCTGCTGTAGTAACGGGCTCTGTGGGAGCTATAGTACCCAGAGTGACCGGAGCCTGAGGGGGACCTAGGGGATCGGGATCGTCCCCTGGATCTCGGAATTGGGGGAGGCGACCGGCGGTAATGGCATGTTGGCGAGATACGTGGAGAGCGGTAGACCCTCTGTGGGTGTCTCATGGATTGGGCTGAAAGATCCGATGAAGGAGAAGGCGGCTCCGGTGAGAATTGGGTGTTCTCTGGTGTGGGAGATGGTGTAATGATTCTCTGAGATCTTCGATGCATGGTTATAGCAGTCTGCTCTGGTGGGGAAGCAGTGAGGACAGAGAGTCGTGTAGACTGTCCACCTCCTTCCCTCGGCGTCAGGCACAGTGCCGCGTCGGAAGGGACCGGAGAACATTGTGGAGGAGCATCCTCCTGAGCCAGGGTGGATTCCCGCACCGAAGAGTCACTTGGTGCTGGCGAGTCACTCGATGCCGGTGAAGGGCATGGTGCCCAGGAATCTGACGGTGCCGAGGGACGTCGCGGTGCCGGGGCGGTTCCGGTGAGAATTGGGTGTTCTCTGGTGTGGGAGATGGTGTAATGATTCTCCAAGATCCTCGATGCATGGTTACAGCAGTCTGCTCTGGTGGGGAAGCAGTGAGGACAGAGAGTCGTGTAGACTGTCCACCTCCTTCCCTCGGCGTCGGACGCAGTGCCGCATCGGAAGGGACAGAGAACGTGGTGGAGGAGCATCCTTCCGAGCCGGGGTGGATTCCAGCACCGAAGAGTCGCTCGGTGCCAGCGAGTCACTCGGTGCTGGTGAAGGGCATGGTGTACAGGGATCTGACGGTGCCGAGGGGCATTGCGGTGCCGGCGGCCCATTCCGTGCTGGAGGCTCGTTCGGTCGTCTGCGCCGAGACCACTCCTGGTGTCGCAATCGTAGACGGTGCGGAGGGTGCTCTCGGTGCAGCGCATGGCATCGGGGAAGGCTTCGGTGCCGATGATAACTTAGGCACCGGAAGAGTAGTGGGCTGTGGAGCCGAAGTGCTGCGGCTGTGCTTCGCCTTAGACTGGCCATGCGTAAATGGCGAGCCCGAGGTGCCCGGTTTGTCCCTCACGCTAACATGCGTCGGGGAAAGGGAATGAGTAAGTGATAGTCTTTTCTTCGCCTTCTTTGGGGACGGTTTGGCTGAGGGATCCAGAGGCGATACGGAAGTTGCCGTATCTTGAGGTTGTAATGCCCTATCAAAGAGGAGCATTTTAAGCCTCATGTCCCTGTCCCTCCTCGCTCTTGTGGTGAGTTTGGAGCAGTGAGGACACTTCTGGGGTATGTGTCCCTCACTGAGGCACCTGATGCAAAGAGTGTGACCGTTGGAGGCAGGCATTGCTTCCCGGCATGAGCTGCACTTTTTAAATCCAGGTGAACCCGGCATGGTCACCTCTTTCTTCCTCTCACAAGATTCAGGGAAAAATATTTACAGATAACTTTGAAGAAATTTTTTTTTGTTTTGTAAACTAGAATGACTACGACTAATAACTAACTTATAATAACTGGAAAGAACTAACTACGAACTAATCTAACTAAATCCTGTGAGCTCTTCCTCTCTCTCACTCTGACAGGGTCTGAGGAGAAACATTATTCCGTCCGTGGCCGAGGACGGTCAGGAGGAACTGGCGGGAGCCGGACCGTGCAAACACAAACGGCGCGAAAAGGCATGAGCTGCGCTTCGTGCATGCGCCGTCCGGCAGACTACGGCTAGAAAAGTTCTCCGATCTGCGGCGCCAGGACGAGCCCGACACCTAGAGTGGAGCACCCACAGGACACTGCTCGAAGAAGCAGCCCTGCTTTCAATAGGAAAGAAGGTGATAAATTATTTGGACGTAATCCATACCATAGCTGCAGCCCTCTATACAAGTATCCTTTGCAGGGGACAATTTATGACCCCAATTAGCCAGTACAGATGTACAATATCAGTCACAACTGTGCCTATAATAAATAAAATTAAATAACTCACTTCACTTGTTAAATAGACATACTGAATCATCTTCAATGTCAGCAATGTTTCATTGGAATTTTCAAGGTGATACTAGGAAGAAAAAAACCCCAAACAGCTTAATATCACCATAATGAATTAATTCTATGTCCGATCTTTAAAAAGCAGCTTTCATGAAAATCTTTCCAAATCAATTGCAATTCATACAAATATGTCTACATATCATTTCACTTCCTTCATTCTTAGTCACTAATCTATCTTTTCTATTTTTGTGTCAATTATATTTTTGTGATTTTTGCTCCTCTTAAAATATTCCACCAAGATTTTCACCCTTTAATATAAATTGAAAAGTCCATTATCAAATATTTGTTCTTCATATACTTACAGATTGTGCTGAAGTCATCCCATAACCTGCTGTTTTCCAAAGCTAAACAGATTGAGTCCACGAGTGTATTGCTATAAGACTTTCCTTCTAATCCTTTAATCATTTTCATGGTGGCTCTTTGAATCCGTTCCAATTTATTAAACATCCTTCATGAATTGTGGACACCAGAATCAGACAGTATTTCAATAGCTGTTGCACAAGTACTCAATACAGAGGCAAAATAAGCTCTCTACTCATAGTCAAGATACTGTTTACAGGATCATGCTAGCCCAGGGGTCTGCAACCTACAGCTCTTGAGCCAAATATGGATCAGTATGGAACCAAATATGGTACTTTTTTCATTCCCAAAAAATCCAACTTTTTAAATTAAAATGAAAAATAATCAAAATTTTAAAAAAATTAATTACTCACATAGCTTGAATGCACGCATGAACCTGAATTTGACCAATCATAATGTAAACTTCAAAGAAATGTGCAAAAAGATGCAGCAGCAGAAGTCGCATTAAATAAAGTCTGAGTACGTTTCATTTATGTTATTATTAATTATGTCAATTATCAATAATATTGTGTATTTTCAGTCATGCAAATGGATATTCTTATATGGCTCTTTGTTGACCACTTGTTCTGCATTTTGATATAGTTTAGAGCTCTTTGGTTTGATCAGGTTGCTGACCCCTGTGTTAGCCCTTTTGGTCACAAAGGAAGCTCATGTTTGGTTTGGCGTGAACATATCTTTTTAGGAACTCATCTAATCTTGATTTGAAAACGTCATTGATAGGAAATCCACCATCTTAAATTTTCCCAATGGTGAATTAATTTCACTGTTAAAATCATCAATTAATTAACAACATTTATTTAGCTTCAACTTCCAAATGTTGTCAAGTTATGTCTTTAGTCAACAGACTAGACAATCCTATACTACCAGAAATCATCTACCAGGTCACCAATTAGCCTTTTCCTTGGTAAACTTCTTAGGGATTTAAGATGCTCAATCTGACTGAAAAGCAAGTATTCAAGAAGGATCACCACTAAAATAATTTAGAAGTATAAAATTACTAACCTTTTCTTTGTCTGCAATAAAATAACACTCTAAATATCTGATAGGAGCGTACAAACGGTCTAGTTCGTCTTGCTGGAAGAAAAGACATGTAAAGCAGAGTTATGTAAATTAAACTGACGCATTTACTTGCATGCAGAATAGTAGAAATATACTTCAGAACCATACCCTCCTGTGTTATGTCATCCAAATGAAGGAAGAATCTTACAGAGTTTTAATTCTGTAACAGGTAACATGTCTTGTGGATGGAGAAAATAGTAAATATGATATGCTTTAACTTTAGTTACTCTTTTGATACAACCTCCTGCATGTCCTTCCGTGGCGGCACGTCAGGGTTCCCTCGCCTCCTGCACCCCCGTAATGGCACGAACAGACTCCACCAGCCAGTAGAATAGAGGGGGGTTATTGCTTCTCCAGGATACAGCCCAGCACAGATGTAATCTGGGTACAGGAACTGGGCCTCAGTGCCCCTTGAGATGGGGGGGGGGTTGCTTAGGCTGCCTCCTCAATGATTCCAGACAGAAACTAAAAAGTCCCTTCCAGCCCTGCCCCCCAGCCAGGGGCTGGCCTCCCCTCCTTCCTTTGTCTCTCCCCCTGGGAAGCAACTGGTTGGACAGGTTGGGCGCCCCTTGCATAATGACTCATCCCCTGTCCTGCTGGGCCATGCTACAGACAACAGCAAGTGGGGGTCACCCACAGCCCAAGCCTAGCAACCAGCAAGTTACCAACACTACGTCACACCTTTTCATAAACAAACTAGGGAAATCCATCCAAATGTAGCTACTGTGTGCATAATGTTGAAAAACCATTCCCAGATAATAGTTATTCATGATTCACAGACAAGATGGAAGGGCATATCAATTCAGGTCTGAATTTAACCACCATGATTCCAGAAAATAGAACATCTCATACTTAAGGGTTAATTGGAATAAGCAGGACTTCAGGAGACAATGGTCAAATTACATGTAGGCTTGAGGTTTCTGCTGTTCACAATGGGAGAAGGGGAGAAGGGAGTTAATAAACAGAGTGAAGGAGAATGAGCGGATGGAGACCTTTGATACAGAAGCTTATTATGACTAAGAATGTTAGCAGCATTTATTGATAGTTTAATGAAGTTGGGAGAGGTGATCTACTAGCTTGTGATCTATTATGAGCTTTATGTTTTGTAAAAGTTAATTAAAAAAGACTAAATAATAGAATGTGCTTTCGAGCATTTCTCTGAAGTTATTCTGAAAGATTTTTTCCTGACAACTTACTCTCTGGCAGAGAAGCAACCAGCCATTGTGGACCTGCTGTCAATTACTCAGTCCAGTTTCAAATTCTTGGAACTATTAGGGATGTGTGTGTGTGATGAAATCTGATAAACTGTCAATTTAGATAAGAGCACAGTTATTTGTATCAATTTTCATCAGCCACAAGCACTGTGTAACCATTTCTTTATTCTGACCCCGCCTGAAGAGAAAGAACTAAATTACCGCTGCTTTTGGTTCTGAAATCCCTGGATAACACTGCAGGGATCAGTTCTGAATCTGTTCCCATTCAATATTTTCCATCAGTGATTTAGCTAATGACAGAGATTACACTTACAAAGTTTGTGGATGATACCAAGATGAGAGTTGTTGCAAGTGCTTTGGAGAATAGGATTAAAATTCAAAATAAACTGGAGAAATGGTCTGAAGGAAGTAGGATGAAATTCTCAGTAAGAACACCTGTGAAGAACTCCAATTAGGAAAGAACAATCAGCTGCAGTGTCAGGAAATGGGAGAAAATTGCTTATGAAGGAATAGTGCAGAAAGTAATCTGAGTGTTTTAGTAGATCACAAGAGAAATATGGACAAAAAGCACAACTCAGATGCAAAAAAATCCAATCATTCTTGGATGTATGAGCAGAAGTATTGAAAGCAAGATATGAGAAGCAATTCTTCTGCTCTACTTCAAACTGATTAGGTTTCAACTAGAGAGTTATGTCCAGTTATGTACTGTACAATTTCATGAGAGATGTGAACAAATTCAATCAAGTCCAGAGAAGTATAACAAAAAGAACTAAAGGTCTAGAACACATGACTTACAAGTTATGATTGAAAAAGACTAGGTTTGTTTAGCCTGGAGAAGAGAAGACTAAGAGGGAACAAAATAACACTTTTCAAGTACATAAAAAGTTGTTAGGAAGAGGACAAAGCAGGGTTACTTACCTGTAACTGTTGTTCTTCGAGATGTGTTGCTCATATCCATTCGAACTAGGTGCATGCGCGCCGCGTGCACGGTTCCCGGAACATTTTTTTCCCAGCAGTATCCATCGGGGCCGGCAGGTCACCCCCTGTAGTGGCGTTGCTATAGCGGAGCGTAAGTACCCCTGCCGGCCCTCCCCTTCCTCAGTTCCTTCTTGCTGGAAACTCCGACACAGGGGAGGCAGGGGGGGAAATTGAATGGACATGTGACTACATCTCGAAGAACTACAGTTACAGTTAAGTAACGCTGTTTTCTTCCTCAAGTGATTGCTCATGTCCATTCGAACTAGGGGTATGTCTACACTACAGCACTAATTCGAGCTAACTTAATTCGAATTAGTGCATCTAGACCTAAAAACTAATTCGAATTAGTGTTTTGCTAATTCGAAATAGCATGTCCACATTGAGTGGACCCTGAACTGAGGTTAAGGCTGGCCGGAACCAGTGTTGGCAGGGCATCAGGTTAGGACTTAGAGTGTGGAACTGCTGCCTCAGGCTAGCCAAGGGCTGTGCTTAACAGGACCCAACCCCCACCCTGGACAGACAGTTCTCAGGGTTCCCCGCTTGCTTGTCTAACTCGATGAGGGACAGCAAAGCAGTCCTGTCTTGGAGTGCCCTGAGTGCCCTCACTCAGCACATCACAGCACTCAGCCATCAGCCCGGCTGCAGGAGCCTGCCCAGGGCCGCAAGAGGCGGCTGCCCTCCTTATAACCATGCCCGACGCCATCGTCCGGGCGGCAGAGTTGACAGCATCCAGAGACGCCTGCAGGGCAGCGCAAGCAATCATTCTGCCCTCCGTGGCCAGGGTGGAGAACTCCTGCCTGTCCTCTGGGGGCAATCTGTCGCGAAACCTGTCCATCGCTAGCCAGGTGTTGTAGGAATAGCGACTGAGCATGGCCTGCTGGTTAGCGATACGCAGTTGCACCTCCTCTCTTCCAAATGCTTAGGGTCTTTAGCCTTAGGGGATAGGCCCGGCTGCCCTTGCCCCTCCTTCTGGGCAGCTGCCTGGGCCCATGGCTCCTAGTACAGGATGTGAATAGAGATGCTCATGCCCCGACTGGGGGACACAGTACCTCCTCTTGACCCCCTTGAGCGTCAGGGAGATAGACACCGGTGTCTGCCACAGTGTACTTGTGATCTTTGCCACCGTCTTATTGAGTGGCAGTGCTAACTTCACCGGAACATCGTCCGTGAGTATATCCACCATCGGATCTGACTCCTCAGACACGGGCTCCACCAGTACTCCAAGATTTGCAGCCAGCGGGCGCAGCAGCTCCTGATGGGACCTAGCGTCCATGGCTGGCATAGCAGGGGCCGGGTCAGCCAAGGCCTCATCAGGGGACGATGAAGATGTTGACTCTCGACTCAGGACTGGCTGCTCCACCACACCCTGGACAGGGGATGATTGTTGCAGCCCCTCCCCCCCCCAGGCTGCTGCTGGGTCCCAGCCCCCGGGTCACCAACGTCTGGGTGTCCCCTGGGGCTAGCCCCCTTAGGTGAGGGTGGAGCTCTGGAGAGGGAGGCCGAAGGCATGGACCTCCGCCGTGAGCTACTGACAGACCCCAAAGGAGGGAGTGACCCTTGCCACTGGTGATAGGCCCAGGGTGTCCAAAAGGGCCAGGGCTGCTGGACCTGCGGTGGCCAAGTCTGCTCAAATCCTTGCAGCGCCATCCGGTGCCAGGAACGGAATTGGTACCAAAACGACAACCGCAAAGAGCCCACAGAACGCAGGGACTCTGCCTTAGACTCCGAAGACAGTTTGGATGCTGACCATGGCGGTGCCGATGAAGACTGACCCTGCACCGTCACCGGACGGAACCTCGCCATCGACTCCAGCTTCCCTGCATGGGGACGGGGCTTCAGGTGCAGCAGCAGCGGCACCGGACCATGTGCTGCTTGTGGTGCCGGTAGAGCCGGAGCCTGCACTGTTGGTGCCTGCAGAGCTGGCGCCTGTGGTGCCGACACATACGGTGCCGGCAGTACCTGTGGTGCCGGTGGCACTGGCAGTACATGCAGGTATGGTGCCGGAGGCGCCTGCAGCATTGGAAGGGCGTGCAGTGCCGGCATGGGCGACGCATGCAGAGCCACCGCCGAACACGGCACTGGAGCGCCTATGGCCGACGTGGCCGCAGGGTGCACAGGTGCCAGCAGTGAAGCCTCCTGGATTGGCTGGGCAGGAGGCTGTGGCACGGTCTTCCCCCATACCACTGTGGCCGGAAGCAACGGACGGTCCCTCTATTCTACCGGTGCCGGCCGGGGCTCCAAGGCCTAGGAGAGCCAAAGTCAAAGACTCCTCCAAAGAGGGAAGGGAAGGAGGCGAGGCCGTGAGCCCTATCAGGTTCTGAGCTGCCTCGAAGACCTCGGGAGTGGCCAGGCACCGAGACAGGGTGGTCCCAGGGCTCCCAGCCCTGCGCGTGGACTGCCTCTTCCTCCCTTTCAGGGGTCAGACCGGCAAGCCCAGTACGGGAGTGTGGCTCTGCCTGTGACCATCCCGGCGGGCTCTGTGCTTGGAAGATCTCCCCTTGGAGTCCTTCACCCGCTTCGGTGCCGGGGACTGGGACCGGTGCCGGCTTTTTTTGTACTTAGGTGCGGGGAAGGTCCAACCACGACTCCCACACCGACGCCAGTGCGTTACGCACCAAGGCTTCTCCGGAGGATGCTGGCTGTAGCACCTACTCCATGAGGAGCAACTGAAGGCGGGAATCTCTCTCGCTCTTGGTACGTGGCTTGAATCCCTTGCAGATTTTGCAGGCGACCAACCAGGTGAGCTTCCCCTGTTGTCTAGTGCATTATGCACAAGGTTTAAAGCCCTACAAGACTAGCATCACCATCCCCCGCGAGGTGGGT